ATTTTATTCAATAGGTCCAGGGTTCGAATCCGGATAGCGACAGAAAATTTAAAATGTTCTCCTTTCACTTCCTTTCCAGCTCTCTAACAATGATCTGTCGTCTGCTTTCGTCTTCACTTTCTGCCCCACCCCCTCACCCCCTTTGCCCTCTCCTCTGGGCTCCTGACTCTTTCTAAAGCCTTTCTATTGCTTCTCTTGGCTCTTTCTTACTGCTGTCTTTCAGCTACACCCCTGATCTTATGGTAGGTAAAATCTGCACCTAGACTTCTCGGACAAAGGCGAAAAATCTCGGAGGTCCCGAGTGCAAGTTGCGCACGTTAAAGATCCCTTGGTATTACAAAATTGGTAAGAGTAGGCTTCGGTTGCCACCTGTGCAAAATTTAAAAATGTCCTATCAACTGAAAATGTTTGGTATGTCCCGTGCACTCATATGACCTTAAGCAGTTGCGAGCGCCGTAAAACACTTACCCCAAAAGCCAAGCAGTATTCCTAACAGATGCCATGTCAATACTGCAGGCAATCACTTCCGGCAAACTACCAAGGCTACGAAAAGTAATTGAGGACACCCCATGCTGCAGTGGATTCCATCACACTGTGGTGTCTTAGGAAATGAGCAGGCAGACAGGATGGCCAAATTAGGAGCCAGACAACAGCATTAACTACACAGAAATAAAAACTATTATAAATACACTATTTAAAGCACCTCAGATACCAAGTGGCTACCATGAGCTGTCCCGCCAAGAGCAAGAGATTATCTTCAGACTAAGGACACAACATATAAGACAGAGACAACATAAGCACAAATGTTTTAAACTAGTACAATCACCAAAATGCCAGTGTGGAGAGGCGGACCAAACTGTTCAACACATCCTTCAGCACTGCAAGACACAAAGGGCCCTGAGACAGGAAACGTGGCCAACCCCACTGACGCTTCAAGAGAAGCTATACGGGCCGACAGATGAACTAAGCAGGACGGCCCAATTTATGACAGATACCAGACTTCAAGTATGATGCAATCGAGAAGAAGAAGACCTACCAAAAAAAATGTTTTCATTCTTAAGCTAAATAGATACACATCAATCCAATAATATTTAGCCATACTGGCCCATAAACATTCTTGGATGGGGGCATGATGTCTGAAGTCAAAGGCAGTGAAATGAAGCAAAACTTTTTGAATACTGTAAGTAGTAGAATATATGCAAAGTGTCAACCAATTCACGCAAAACATATATCAGGTACAGAACCATTCTGCAGAATGATTTTTGTCCATTATTCATGGAGACAATTAACAAGTCATCTACTAAACAAAGGATAGGTGGAAGAGGGAGCCAGTCAAGCAAGTGTTTTATTTGTCCCCCATCTCTAAATTCTTTCTTTATCTAAAGTCTGAAACACCCATCGTGGCAGATGATCGTGTGGTAGATCTATCTCGCCAGATACATGTATCCAACTTTTTTAGTTGACCAGCACATCTAACCATCTACAAAAACTAGTCACAACAGTTATTGCTGAACTCACTTTCAGGCCTTCATCAACTTTTGCGTGTCGTTCGACACTGGTGAAGCCATCCCAGTCAATTTCTGTCACAGGGTTTTTCTTCGACCTCATCATCACGCCCTGTTGGATTCCATAATAGCCCACAGGTTTATCTGCTCGCTGCCATCTTAGGTCCAGACTCCAGCGGATGTCATTGGAGAGGTTGTTTAAACTGACACAATAAAAAAGATAGTATTATTTTCAAGTGAGATTGAGGGATAACAACAGAGGTGCCATCTGGAAGTCAGCACATTTAATGATTTATGGTCACATTTTGCCATTGGAGAGGTTGTTTAAACTGACACAATAAATCCATGTGGATGGTTGTTTTCTATAGCTGAAAAAACTGTGGAACGTAGAAGTAGAACTATGAAAAAATTACTGAAGGTAGTTCAAAGACCAAGCTAAGTTTCTATCAATTCAGTAAGTGTTGGAATAAAAAAATAGAAACATAGAAAACACTATCGGCCGTTTACGATTTTCTCGTTCGTCATTTCAATGCAGTGTTTCAAGACATATTTCGTTTTCCATGATATAAAAATTGCTCTTCTGCCGGAAATAAACAAATCTTCTTTGGGCGCCTACAGTTGAGATTTTGCGAATTGCTTACAGAGTTACTTTTCCGTGGAAGTCAGACTTAGAAAGTGTATCTTTGTGATAGATATGTAGGTCTAGATCTAGAGATACTATGCCACCAAACGGCAGGTCTGATTATGATTGGCACCTGTGCTGTGGCTAAGTCTGTGATAGATTTTAATTTAGAGGCGGTGCTGTGGCCCTGTGGCTAAGAGACGAAGACAGTATAGGTGTATGGGTGTGTTAGTTAGATCTATTTAGATCTAAATGAGAATAAAATCACTATGCCACCCAAACGGTGAGCCATTGGACGAATGACACCTGTGGCTAAGAGAGAAAGGCAGAGTAGATTTAGATCTAGATCAGGTGTGGACTCTGAAAATAACGAGGGAGAGAAAAAACATGAAGTAAACGAAGAGGAAGAAGAAAACCAACCTGATTCTGATACGCTCAGTAGAAATCCACCAGCATTTATATACAATAATGTTGATCTAAGTCTTGACAATACTTGCTCTATTGAACAACTTATGACAAATGTGTGCAATCAGTGTAATGCTACAAAAACACAATAAATCGAAAAGAAGCAGACAGCATTTCTTAAGTGCAGCTTGAAGACGGTATTTTACAAATGGGTGGGCAAAGTCTCGATTCATATGGACTTCCAATTGCACGAAGAGATGCTGCAGAGAGAGTAGAGCAAGATTACCGCAGAGAAATCATCTACGATGTAGAATAACAAAGACAAATGGCATCGAGAAACCATGGACTGTTAACATCAGACCAGGAGTATGTATTTGACACTTTCATGACAGCTGTCCGGAACAAAGCAAAGGGAATGTTTTTTCTTGACGCCCCAGGCTGGTGCGGGAAAACATTCCTTCTAGAAACCATGCTGGCAACATTCGATCTGTAGAAAAAATTGCAACTGCAACAGCCAGCAGTGGATTGGTTGCAACACTCATTACAGGGGGTAGAACTGTACACCGTACCTTTAAAGTACCTTTAGATGTAGCTAGATGTGACACATCAGTGTGTTCTATCAAGAAGCAGACATCCTTAGCAAGGCTCATCAATGACTGCAGTGCCATAGTAATTGACGAAGCACCTATGCTGAACAAGGCTATCTTTGAAGCTCTGGACAGGACGTTTCAAGATATTAACTCCATACAGATTCAATGGGTGGCATTCCAGTTCACATATGTCGAGATTTTCGACAGATTTTGCCAATAGTCAGATCTGGCACAAGAGCCGACATTGTCAACGCATGCATCGAAAAGTCCTATTTGCGGCCAGATGTGAAAACACTTAACCTCACAACAAACATGCGTGTTCACTTACTAGGTGACTTTGAAGAAGCCCAATTCTCCAAATTATTACATGTATTGGACATTGGAAACGGAAGGAAATCAGTTGTTGTCGAACAAGACATAATCAGCGGTCTCGAACTTGGAAAATGTTCTACAATCAACCAAGTTTTTCCCGATTTCGAAGACGATTTGGGAAATTTGCAAAGCCTGTCAGAAAGGGCCATACCTTTAAATGAAACAGTCTCTAAAACTAATAACAAACTCATTGACGTGATGGCGTCTACACCCAAAGTCTATCAATCTATAAATAATGCACTCAACGAGGACGATGCAACCCACTATCTTGTGGAATTCCTGAACTCCATTGAACTGGCCAGCCTTCCGCCCCATGTTCTGAAATTAAAGACTGGTATGCCCGTAATGATCTTAACCCACCAAAATTAATTAATGGAACAAGATGTGTTGTAACACAAACGATGCCAAACGTCGTCAAGGTTGAATTTTTTTGGGACGGTACACGAATAAAAAAAAAAACAGGACTCCTCGAATTATACTTCAACTAACAGACAGTGGACATCTTTTATATTCCAACGAAAACAATTTTCCATCCGACCATGCTTTGCCCTTACATTTAATAAAGCTTAGGGACAGTCTCTTCGTACAGTTGGCCTAGATCTCACATGCACAGTATTTTCACATAGAATGTTGTATGTAGCCATGTTCCGAACTGGAGAACTGCTGTTCACATCTTGGCATCCAACAGTCAAACCAGTAATGTTGTATATCCAGAGGTTTTGGACGATATACATCAGTCTTAGGTGAGTTTCACTTTTGAAAATTTGTTGTTTTTTTATAAATATAGAATAGAACCATCCTGTTCTAATCAATTAACTGTTTAAATTACTGCAGTATTGACATATTTATTTATTGTCTAGAAAACATTATTTTCCCGTTCATAGAACGGGTACGCAGGCTAGCATAATATAATATAATATAATATAATATAATATAATATAATATAATATAATATAATATAATATAATATAATATAATGTAATATAATATAATATTATATAATACACTATACTATACTATACTATACTATACTATACTATACTATACTATACTATACTATACTATACTATACTATACTATACTATAATATAATATAGTGAGGTGCAAAAAACCCGCTTTTTATGTTGTTGTAATCGCCCAATGCTGAGTTAATAGTTGTGTGATATGAACTCATATCACACAACACTTGTCTCTAGCGTCTTGATGGGCATTTTTGATCATGGTATACACAACTCACGAGTCATCACTCACCTCTGGGACACACTTGCAACTTATTATGAGTGGTGAGTTTATGCTAACTCAGTCCTGGGCGTATGCCTATAACATTTGCGCCTCGAAATGTTGCATTCATATGGAGCTACATGCATGCCAAGGTTATCAAGGGAAAACAGAGAAAGAGCTGTCGGACGACTGGCGGCCGGTGAGTCGGTGAAATATGTGTCCCAGGTTTTTGGTGTCCACCCAAGCGCCATTTATCACCTTCGGAACCGAATACAAGCGACAGCGACCACAGCAGATCGACCAAGAAGCGGAAGACCAAGGGTGACAACTCCGGCCCATGATCGTGTCATCGTTCGTCAGCACCGCAGCGATCCGTTTCTGACAGCTGCAGAGACTGCCAGAACAGCCATGGGAACGACTGGACGCCAACTTATCCGCTGGGATGTGTCACGGAGGTTAGTGACTGCTGGTCTTCACTGCAGGCGTCCTTACCAGGGAGCTGTCCTAACACCAATGCATCGACAACAACGGCTACAGTGGGCGCAGGCGCATGTGAACTAGCAGAACGCACAGTGGATGAGAGTCCTCTTCAGTGATGAAAGCAGGTTCTGCGTCGATCCAGCAAATGGCCGTTTCCGTGTGTGGCGTAGAGACACGACTCGCTACGACGACAACAACATTCTGGAGCGTGACCCCTGGGGAGGCGAGATCTTGATGATATGGAGAGCCATGGCGTTGAATCATAGAGTGGGACCTGTCATCTTCCAGAACATTGATCTAGGACGTGGAAACGGCGCCACAGCTCAGTGCTATATTGTACAAGTCTTAGCACCCCATGTGGTACCCTTTCTACAGAGGCATCCTAACTTCCTGTATCAAAAAGACAACGCATGACCACATACCGCACGTACTACCTGAACTTCTTGGCGCAGAACAATGTCAATTTATTGGCACACCCACCTCGCTCACCTGACTTGAACCCTATTGAATTTTTGCGGGACGTGTTCCAAAGACAGCTTACCCAGATGCAGCCACGGCCTCGAACAGCAGCCCAGTTGACTGCAGCCATCATCCAGATCTTCAGTGGCATCCAAAATGGCCAGATGAACCGTTTGATTAACTCTATAAACAGAAGCTGCCTCGCTGTAATCGCTGCACGTGGAGGCCATAAGCGTTACTAAAACTGCTTTCCAAGGTCAAGGTCAACGTAAGCTCAGATTGATGTATTGGACCCTCAGTTCATGTCAGCTATATCACTCAAGAAGTGTGCAAAGTTCCAGTTAATAAACTCGACAAATAACTTGAAACCTATGTTTTGCATTTTGTCAATCATTTTGGTGTAATAAAAATTCGCGGTTTTTAGCACCTCAGTATAAAGTATAATATAATATAA